AAAAAGCAATAATATCTCAAACATGATTTGTTGTTGATCCATCTAACTTGCATCTACCTTGCAGCAGAAGCGAAGGGGACTGAAAGGAATGGAGAGCCTGGAAAGCGATTCCGAATGAAAAATTTCTTTAAACATCAATGGAGATGATGAATGCCAAGTCAAGAGTCTCCAACTTCATCACATTTTTGCCTCTGCTTGCCGAGCCAATGTTGGAATAGCTCACCATACATTCCTTGGCTGCTGGGATTCCTCCCATCAGCAGGCAGACAATACCAGGATTTGATGGATGCAGACCAATGAGCTCGGATCAGAGATTTCCACCCTGGACTTCACCAAATTCTTGTTCTTGATGATCACTTGTATTGATATACTCTATTCTACGGCCGATTTTGCTACCTAACTCATTTGGCCAGCTACCCTATAACTACCAGAGCATGGTCCCAGGGGGGAATATAAACCAGCTATTTCGGTTTTGTTGTCACCATCATCAAACACTCTTAATTTGTTTCTGTACAAATCAGCTGCCTTGCCTTATTTCTTCTTATCTTGGTTTCTATGTACCCTTAGAATTGGTTCTTTCTATCTAAAGACTCTACCCCATTTTATTGGTTCTTTCACATTTTAAAACGAGATTAACTTTCATCTTTATTGCAATTATCCTTGGTTCAGTATACCTCTTACGCACACTAATAACTCGATATGTTCATAACCAAAGTTTAAGCCTTTAAGGTATGGGTGATGGTCCAAAGTGGCAGAAGATATTTGGTACTTCAAACCACGGTTGAAATCTGCACAATCACATACCAGCAACTTAAAATCCATGGTCAAAGCAAGGCAGAGTGCCAATCCCCTCCAGAAAGACTTTTGATCACGGTCAAATAGGAGAACAGCTAGAAGCATTTGGTGGCGACAAAGTAACTAAGCTATGTCATTTATTATTAAAGGCCAAATGCCACTCGCTCCAGAAGTTGGTGACTGATGCTGGCTTACCATCAGTAACTTCATCTTTTGGCATCCTAGTTAAGAGGGAGGGATCTCATTTCTGAGTAGCCCAACAACCACTATCACCCTCCATCCTTGGTTCACCCACATTAAAAGAAGGGAAAAGAAAGGGAGCAAAAAATCATATAAGTGACTGTAAATGCTACATGTAGTATCCTAACATTTGTAATTTGCCAAAATACAGAGCACTTAGAAATTTAGAATAGTAATCCAGATTTCCCCGAAGATAAGATATGTTTTTCCTTTTTCGACAATGGCAACAGACAGATTCAAAGACGTATAAATGTTCACTAGAAACTGGAAAAATCCCAGCTTGCTCTGGGCTGTATAAGCTTTTATGGAACATAATGGAAAGTAACATCCCTACTTCTGCAGGTTTATTTTGAAGATATAGACTTGAGATCGATATCATTTAAAAGAGAAGGAATAAACTTAACTGGTTCAATGACAAAACCAGCCTTGTGATATGCATCCTCCAGAAGCTCTACTTGTGAAGGTCCGTCAGGACAGAAAACCACGGCAGCACCTCCACTCCCAGTGAATTTTGATGCAGCACCAACCCTTCGTGCCACTTCAATCATCTTAATATTAAGAGCACCAAGTGCATTGTCGCCAAACATGCTCCTTCGCAGATCAAAATTACGGTTCATGAGAGTCACCAACTTGCCATAGTCCTTTGCAAGCAATGCAGCCCTCCCTTCCAAAGCAATATTAGCTACCTCATCCATTGACGATATAATGAACTCATCACCATCTAACCATCTCTGCCTAACTGCACTGTGCACCTTTCCAGAATCACTCGGATTCTCGGCATAGACAAGATAAAGAGGGGGAAGAATAGTAATATCCATAGGCGTATAATTTCCATGCCCCAATTCTTCCATGTACTTTTTGCTGAAATCCATGTAAACAAGCCCCCCGTACACCTGTGCCACCCTGTCCTGGAGACCAGCAACAATGCCAAGTTCCTTCTCGGCATTAAGAATAAGGTTGGGCCTAACCTCAACCTTAATCAAATGCCTCACATTATAGAAATCCAAAAAGCAGCTAAGAGCAGCACAGACGATGGCACTAGACCCCGATAGCCCTGTCTGGCGAGGTATATTGGTATCATATGACAGGGTAAAATTTCCTTCGCGTAAACTGATATTCTCATCCCTGCAGTAGTTGTGAAAAACTTTGCATATGGCCATAAGCAAACGAACCCCTCCATAATACCCTTCAGCTTGCAACCGATTCACCATGTGAGAGAGGGACTCAAATTGGACCAAATCATGAGTAGGGTGTGGCACAATAACAAGCTCTTTAGAAGGTTGCAAACGCACTGAAGCCCAGAAGTTGCCAAGGCTGAAAGAAATGGTTCGCCCATAATAAACATCGCTAGGATTTCCCAGCAATCCCACCCTGGCATACGCCTTGTGCTCTATCACATTGCCATTCTCTCCGGCCATTCTCAACAACACAATTTTGCAAACTAGCACTGCAGAAATGTTATAGCAAATATATACAATGAACCAATTAGACAATAAGAACAATGTAGGTAATCATATCTTGAAAACTGTCAGAGAAATGAGATAATCATCAATGCTGCTAACTTTAGAAACTTTTTCAATAGCATCACTAATCTGAGCAAGTGGAAAAGGAAGATGCTGAACTGTTTTCTTCTCAATCATTTATTTAGTGCATCGGGGTACCTAACAATCTTGAATAATACCATCAGAGAAAACAGTAAGAAAAAATATTTCCCATTCATGGGCTTCCTACCTCCAATGGTTGGTTTCCTTAAAAGTTAAAAAATCATCATTGCCTGGCAGAACCAAATCTACATATTAAAGAGTACTAGATAAGCATCAAGCTACAATTTAGGTGAACTATGGAGGGTCCTAAGCAGTTAAGATAAAACTGGTCATGGTAATAAAGAATTAACAAATTTGACAAGAAAATGGAAAATCCCAACATGGAAAAGTTACTAAACTGATGAATCAGAATTACCTTCTTGTTTGCCAGACTAGAGAAGGCTGTCACGCCAACAAGATCTTATTCTGGTCTCCGGTAACGATGGGTTGGTTGGGAGATTTGCAGCAAGAATGTGACGGTAGAAACAGTAATCCTATTCCCAGCTAGTGTTATGGCTGGCTGCTTAGCAGCCGCCCGTCGGCGAGGGAACCCGCCGGAATGGGGAAATATAAAATGAATTAAAGAAAATGGAAATTAGAAGGAAACGTAGAAACCTAGGAATGCAAGTGGAAATTAACGTGAGCAGTCCACGTATGACGCACGTTGGAAAATGGAGTATTGTGTTAATCAATTATGGGAAAAATATTAAACGGTCAATCTGCAGCACTTGGCAAATTTAAGTATTATTGTATTAGTAGTACCAAAATTACCAATGATCCATCATCAACTCAAGTATAGGAGAAAATATATGGCTGGCTAAACCATCATTATGTGGTAATTAATGACTAGTGATATCATACTTTCTCACACTCTCAATTTTTCAATATGAATTGTCAACAATGATATTATCTTATCTACAAAAAATTTAATATTTTTACACTAGAAAAAACTTCTTTTGAGAGGGAAAAAATTGACTATTGGTTGAAAGGAGGTAGCATGAGTTACTAAAAGCTAAAACATAAAAATTATTAGAATTAGACATCAGTGTAGCAAATCTTTGTGCTCAACCTAGACCAAACTCTGTTGGGGGTGGTAAAAGCAAGTGTGTTGAGTTTCTCCAAAGGAAGGGCAATGGAGATATTAATCTAGATGGTTTCAAACTTAGGGACAATTAGGAACTAATTATTTTTAATTATATAACGAATAACTAAAGAATTGCACGCAGTGATCAGCAGAGGGCTCTTAGAATTTTCTTTCTTTACTGTCAGGTCCAAGGTTCGAATCTTGGACCTAATAATTGGAAAAAATTCTAAAAGTATGGAGAAGGGTGGGAGGTTCAAAAAAGAGAAGTGAAAAAAAAAGGTTTGTAGTACATTTGAAAGAATAGGCAAAGCAAAGAACAGGGGACTAAGGGTGGGGGCCAAAATAGAAGAGAGAGATAGTTTAGGGAGGTTTTCTATAATTTATCCTTGAAATGGTATAGAGATATATTTGTTTTGGGTATCTTTATCTTTAACTGAATTGGAGTTTCTAGTAGAAATTTTTGAGACTTAAAAGTTGAGAAAAAGCCTTAAAACTGGGGAAAGTTTTCATGCAGTGACAGCAAAAAAACGTGTGGTAGGAGTAGGAAGAAAAGTGAATGATGGACAAACTTTTAGGATGAATTCCAATATTGTAACCGGAAATAATTTACAAGCACTTGAATTAACTGCAATTTTTAAGTCAATTTGGTATCAATGTAAATTTTTCAGTGGCTGGCAGCAAGATAATCTACCAATTTAGCTTTAGGGGATATTTATATTGAATTATTGATTCATATTTAGCATCACAACAAACCAATTGGCTTAGTTAAACTTATTATACTTTTATATATATTTTTTTAAAAAATTCTAACAGGGGATGGAATGGATTTAAGAAATGGGGAAGGAGAACAGAGGGATTAGAATCCAGAACCTCTACGTTCTAGGATTTTAACCTAAACTTGCATTATTATGTTGAATGTTAAGAATAAAAAAATATCTCAGCAGAGCTATAATTTGCAAAAATCTAACTTAGGGAAGCATTAAAAAGAAGGAAAAAAAAAAAAAAAAAAGGAGAATGCAGTAGTTTCATCAATAGTCAGTTTAGCCCAAATGTAACGGAAAACATTATTGATTACGAAAGACAACATGAATATGACATCTTTAGTGAACCTTTGGAGGGCAAACTTTTGTTCTGATTCAGTATAGGCATCTGGTTCTGGTCATGAGAGAATTAGAAACGGTGAAAGAGGAGTTAAAGAGAGAACCAGCAGACAAAGGCATACAAAGTGGAGGTTCAAGAACATCTTCTCAGAAAAGCCAAAAAAATGGGCTGTCATGCAACAATTCAAGGCAATTGGATGAAACAATAAAGAGTCTGCCTCTACATTGGATGTTGAAAAATTGTTACGTTTTCGTGAACACATTTCTCTATTACCTTTTTATCTCACATACATCAAATCGCTACAGTAATTTTTCTACAAAAAATCCAGAAAAATGCAATCCAAACACAAATCAAAGTGATTACATCACTCTCATACATCAAATATTAGATTAAAAGGTCAAAGGCAAGCAAAAAGGAAGAAGAAAGCTGGACACCAGATCTACATGTGAAAGCTGCACCTAGAGCTTGCAATCCTTGAACCAAAATGGCCACCTTTATGGCTTTGAGGTCTCAGCTACAACTCCAAAAACTGCACACTAATGTACCTGCATTGCCTCAAAAGATGACATTCTACCTTGGTGGAATGGTGAGGAAACAGCATTCCAGGATTATAACCACTGATCAAGAATAGCCCACGTCAAAAGAATACTTTCTAAGCATCAAATGGTGGAAGAAATTTGATAACATAACGATGTCACCTTACGGTAGAGAGTTCATAACTGGAGGATTAACGTGAACAAGCAATAAAGAGGAGGATGGCCATTCTCTTCTTGGTTCCCAAAATCCGTGCCTATATGGTAGTATGGTAACTAATAGTCTATTTGAGGTGATTCTAAGTGAATATCAAGGTTCAAAGCATCATAAATTACATCAAGTCCGGCTGTAAAAAGTATGACAGTATGATAAAAAAACTTTTGCACACGCACGGTTTTCCACCTTCGATAGACCTGTTTAAAATCCCCCCGTAGTTTATTCCCCTTGACATATCATACTGGAACTATAAACTATGGTGCAGATCAATGAAACATAAACAAAAATGAAGTGCAAATTGTAATCAAATGCACATATTGCCAAATAAAACACCCAGCTCTAAACATTTATAGTGATCCTCACCTACCAGTTTCAATAAATCTTTGATTGTTGACCTCCCCAAAGTGTTTTGCTAGTTGGGAATTAACAAATTTGACAAGCAAATAAGTATTCCAATTTGAACTAGGACTGATCAATATTTAATGGAAAAAGGTATATATCCTTGTATCATCATCATCCAGATTCTCCACAAAATGGCACGCTCATCCATGAAGCATCTTTGATGCATAGTATGTCTATAACATACCACTCTATGTTCCACAAAATGAATTGCTCACCCATAAAAATCTTTAGCCTATAAGGTGTCTATAACTTACAATGATTTACATACTTAAGGTGGCTAGAATATCTGGAACATCAGAATGGGTCATAGTGTGAGCATTGTTCTATGCAAAAATTGGTTAGGATTGTCCAATTGTCATCCCTTGAGCCTACAGAAGAAGCAAAAAATGTGAGCAATGTAATGCTTGATACGGACTTACCACATGCAAAATATAAGGTCAGTAACTTGAAATCACTTGAAACGACACTATTGAGTATGAGAACTCTCAAATATTGCCTCAGATAAACAAGACAGATGATTTGTTGACCCTTCAATGAAATCACTAGCAAAACCAGGGTTTGGACTTTCTTTTTTGGGGGGCCGGGTGTTACGTATGACAATAGTGTCTAAAGCGAGCCACAGTAAATTATTAAAGAATTAATAGAAAGCAAAGCATGTAATTCATAAACACATAAATTCTCAAAAAGTTAATCAAATATTGCATGATATTTGAAATCACATAAGTTCTATCCTGCAAAGTGGGGATCAAATTACTTTCTTAGAATCTATCAAATGCAAGGCATTCTAAATTGTGCATGTCATTCTTTCTTAGAATCAAAAGCATTCATGATAGAATCTGTACCAAAACTTCTAAATTGAAAGTTTTTGTAGAACTTACAACTTCGAACTTTGAGAAGTTTTAAGGCATTATAAATAGATAGCAACTTACTTTCTTAGAATCTATCAAGCGCAAGGCATTCTAAATTGTGCATGTCACTCTTTCTCAGAATCAAGAGCATTCATGATAGAATCTGAACCGAAACTTCTAGCAAATCCCTTTTCTACTAAATTAATCAAGGAACCTGCAAGAAGGTCATCTCCCATTTTGTTTCACCATGGAGTTTCTAAGGAGTTTCATTGTCAAGAATGCTTGCTCCATAGCTGAAATAGACACGGCAAGAGTAAGAACAAGGATCCTATATAATTTAGTTACAGACTATAAAATAGTAGATCAAACGGATAGCTAAACCTGAGAGTACAAACTACATTATTTGATACATAAGTCTAAATTTAGTACATAGTTGCGATTTGAACTTGGGCAACTATTATCGTACCAGTACTGCAATTTGGGGGAGCTTTATCAGAAGAAATTTTGGGGGGAAGAAACTTAAACCAAGAAAACTTCTTAAGCCAAAATACCTATTACATCAAAAGAATTTATAAAATTCTTGGGGGGCTGCTGCCCCTCCCCCCAAAAGCCCAAAAAAAAGTTCCACCAGTGTATGAAATTATTTTCATAAATGAAAGTTACTGGAAGCTACACCCTCTCGGTACCCAAAAAAAAAAAAAAAAGATCCGCATCAATATCACCAACACATAATCAGAAGCAAGATTTCTCTGTGAGAGTTCCTGGAAGCAACACCCTCTAGGTACGATAAAAGAATCCTCATTAATACTGCCAACGCATTGCCTGCTCTTATTAATTTTCCTATTTGCCACACCTGCATCACCAATTTCTTTTCTGGCGTCAGAGCTGTGTGGGTGTGGAGAAACACAACAGGTACAATATTCTCAAACACAAGGCATTTGTGGTTCAGTATCTGATGATAAGCCATTAATTATAATCACCTCTAATTTTCAGATTGAGAAAATCTAAAATCACAAACTTTTTGAGCCCCATTGTTACATTTTTTAGGTGCCTGAGATCTAAATTTTTGGTCAAAACTGACATTCAACTCTACTAAGAAACATTAACATCATGGATCCGCTCCACATAACAGAGTTTCGAGGCGACGGAATGCAGATGCTGATACCATCAGATGTTGAAAGCATCTGGCTATTCAAAGTCCTTTGGTTAATTAGGGAGGTCAGATTGACCATTATTTCAAGGTCAATTGACATGATTACAAGAGATATGCATTCAGTGAGTATAGAATCAACGACCCCTAGGGAAGAGCAAAGACAGCAGGTAATTGAAATGTTGGGTTGGGAGCCTCACGGCAATCTACCTGTACACATCGATAACCCATCAATGAAGATCTTGTTATATAATTGCTTGGGAGCCGGAGATGATGATTTCACAAGATGCATGAGAGAGAGTCATAGATTGCATTCAGCTGAAGTGGTAGCAATACTGGAGCCTCGTGTTCAAAGCTTTAGTCTAAGGAACTTCTTCAACCAATTTGGCCTTACAAGAGCTGAATTTGTGGAAGCACAGCAGCAGGCAGGTGGAGTTTGGCTACTTTGGAACCCTAATAGAGTTGGGATTACAATTGTTGAGTCAAATATGCAATCTGTAGCAGCAATCATTTCTAAGCCTGATTTTCCAGCTTGGGTCTCTACTATAGTTTACGGAAGCCCCAGTCCCACTAACAGGGAGCAGCTATGGGGTAAACTGAAGTTTCTTTTGGAGCAAACTGGTCACCCTTGGACACTTGCAGGAGGAAAGCTGACGCATTGTGCCAGTGATGATCAGAGACCTGGTGGTAGTGCAAGAAGAAGAACTTTCTCAGAAACTATCAATCAGTGTGGTCTGTTGGGCCTGGAATTTAATGGTCTGGGATGCACATGGTCAAACAACACAGTCATGACTACTAATCCAAGTACAGTACCAAATAGAGCTCGGGAGAGTTCAGGATGGAACATGTTGCTCCAGAAATCCATAATTACCGACCTATTTGCGATTGAATTAAATAACTTCGCAATGCTAGTGAACATCATAGGTAATAATCCCTTGAACAATTTTCATTTGATTTTACCTACTTATATTTCTTTTTGGTAAGCATTTGACTTTTGTCATACTGTAAGTGGTTTTAAGTGTGCAGTGGCCAAGACTTAGGTTGTGTGGGGATACCCTGTCTGAAGCAATTACTGACAAAGTTGATAATGCTAGAGTGGAATGATCACATTTTTGGTAAAATTTGTTCAAGGACAAAAAGAAACTTCATGGGCAGAATGTACAATGTTCCTTGATAAAGACTTGATACTCAAAAGATATGTTAGAACCCTTATACAAGAATATTTATCATTTTAAATTCATAGCTAACAGGACTCTCATTGGAAAGAACAGGCATATACCGTGAAATAGTCATTAAGAGAAAATATACAGACTGTATATGATTAAGGGATTGCAGGAAAATTAGAACCCTTGTGACTTGCAAAAGGACTTTAGATTATAGAGATGAACATGCAAACATGAATATGCTTGCTAGAGTAGTGACTGGATGGTGAAGGACAATGGAGAACTGAAGATTTCAATCTTCGTCAGGAAGATGACATACTTGAGGAATTAAGGCTGCCTCTGCTGCTTAACCGCACTAGTTGCTAACAGCTTATGTTGGGCAGCCTCCAGCAGTGAAAAGAATCTCACAGAACTCCTCAAATAGATCAAATATAAACTGCTGAGGAAGAAACTGACTGTAACATTGGAAGTTATCCTTCCAGTTTGACCTAATGCCCTAAAAGTGGGATTGCTGTTATCCCTATCTGTGATATGTTGATAGCACTCCAACTTCTGTCCTAAGAGATGTCCCAAAACCATAGTTTCCCTTTGTCTACAGAATTGTGCGCAAGGTCTCACTGATGAGACTCTCATAGAACAATGGTTCAGCGTCAACACCAAAATAAGGCCAATGGTTTAGCATCGATACCAAAGTAAGGCCTCCAACAGATTATGCTCACTGATGAGACTCAAATAGACCAATAATTTAGCATTGACACCAAAGGAAGGCACTCAACAAAGTATGCAAAGCTTTTACTGAGATATTTTCAACTATTCTTTTGATGGGAAAGGAAACAGGGCCGAAATTGACTGAATAGACTTACTAGTGACTTTGTTTTTCTCACCAGCAGGTCTAGGCACATCAAAGACAGATGTGATGTGGAAAAGATGTCCAGGATCATCTGGCGCTGGAGGATTGATAAGAGCTGATCAAGGAAACAATGTAGGAGCAACTGCAAGCTCTGTAGCAGAATCGGAATCACAGACGTGATTCTGCCTGAGCAGATCTAAGGTGGCTGATCAATTTAAACTATTTGATGTACCTTGAAGCCATGTCCATGAAGTCTGATATTTTCAGCTATTTGAATTCAGAAGTCTGTAGTTGTTAATTTAGATAGCATAAAATCAAACTAATTTTCTATTCTCTGGCAGCAAAAAAAAATTTTTTTTGGGGGGCTATTGATCAACAGGATCTTAATTGTCATTGACAAAACTTGAAGGAAACTGAGGTGCTGTGGACGGGAGGGCAGGGATATATTTAACTAGCTTACCTATGGAAAGACAGATAATCTGACAATTTGGCAAGGCACCAACTAGAACAGTCACTAACGTTCACTTGATGCTTTTGTTTACTAGACCTCTGATTATTGATAAGAGAAAGTCAGCTCCACTCAAGTTTATTCTTGTTATTCCCAAGAATAAATATGTCAAGATACTTCCACAATTAAGTAGCTGAATGTTGACAGGAAAAGGTGGTACTTTCTCTATTAGGAGTGCTATTGGATGGGAAATCATAAAGAAGGAAGTGCTACTTATTCCTATTAGGTGATCATAAATGAACCATAAAGCTGATTTTGGTATAGGCATGCCATGTATATTTTGCCACATCAATGAAAAAGCTGATAAGAAATTCACAAAATAGCTCAAATGAGGTATTAGAAAAATCAAGCAGTAGGGGCTTTTGGGGTCTAAATCCAAATAAATATTTAGATATGTATCACTAATTGTGCGTTAGTATATTATGTTCCTATCTGCGTGTATGCATCTCCGGATTAAGTGTTTTGCCTATTGTATTCACCTCTTCTCAATAACATAATTTTTTCCTCATAAGAAGAATTTTATGGATCTAGATTGTGCTTCAGCATAAATATGAATCAGCCCAAGTAAAAAAGGGAAAAATAGAGCAAGCTTCCATTTACTTGAATCGAAGAAACTCAATATATTCATTAGGACTTAGATGTGTATCTGTCTTGAATTACAAGCAAATCATTAGGATTCAGACGGGTTACTTTTTTCAAATTACAAGCAAGGAACATCCATTAGCATATTGTATGAAAACTTATCTCATATATTTATCAGGGTAGTTAAACTTTCTCTATCACTTGGTTGAAATCACGGTTAAATTAGTCAAAATGTCCATAAACTTCATCAGGACAAAATTTTAAAAACACATTCCATTTTGCTTCCCTCTTTGAGAAAATTTATTCTTAGACAAAATACAGGAAGTGAGACTAGCTGCTGCAAAATTCAATTATATTTATGTCAAGTTAGAGCTTTTGTTACACAGTTCTTCTATGGGAGTTCTTTACTCAACCTTTCCACCATTATTCTAAATCCAATGATTTCTGCAGTTTCACCAAAATTTGAAATTCATCCTCCCATATGCGACTGCAACCTCCAACTAATAAATATTTACTTATAGTCACATAATTACATCTTTATGGACCCTCCAATCAGTTATCTGTTTGAGCTCTTTTCGACATCATCAATAAGCCAAATATCTAATACATTAAGCATTGATTCCAAAGATAAAATAAGACTAAATAGGTGCATTTTCCGAAAAGCCCCGCATAATTTGACGAATCCATAGCTTAGAAAAGAAAGATGTAATAGTTAATTCTTGTATGCGAGTTTATGGATAGAAAAAACAATGAACAGAAAACCGGTAAAAAAGAACATGGAATGAAAAAAAACCCAGAACATCAAACATTAACAGGCATTTTACATTGAGAAACACAAGAAATAGAGGTGCATAACGTTCAATGGTAAATAAGTTATAATAATTTAAGTAACGATGATAAATCCGGTAGTATGAAACGGGGGTTCAAGACTAACCTGGGTCGTGAGCAAATGGTAATCTTGGTTTGAAGCGAGACATGAGAGGCAAAAGTTGTTGCAACCCACAAAATTTATTCTTGGAAAACTGGTTCAGATGCTTGGATTTGGTTAAGATTCAAGGATTTTAGCTTCTTTAACTGAAGTTGGTATTTTGTGCAGTACACAGCTTTCATGTTTCACTGTTTTGTCTCGAGAATCTTTTGGTTTTAAGGGCACCCTTTTCTAACTTTAGTTTATTTTGGATTTTTTGAACCTCCAACGCCTATTTAGAGTGTATAAACGAGACTGATTAAAGTGAACATTTTAGTATTTAAATCCTATAAAATAAAATAAAAAATTTTCGTCAAATCAAACTTGAATAAGATTTGTATAAAATTTAAAAGTTATCGAATATAAAATACTATTTAAATTTAATTTGATTAGTTAATGAACCAAATTCGAATCGTATTTGACTTGATTAGTCAAATAACCAAATTGAAATGAACTCGATTCAACTATTTAAGTAATTTGATTTATTTTTCAACTCTATGCTTGCTTGGAGTGAGAGTTTTTTAAATGTAAGTAGAGGCACTAGGCTGGGTATGTTGGTTTTAAATATTTTTTTTTTTATTTGTTTTCCTTTGAATAATAGCTACCCTTTTGTTTTTATGTAAATTCTTCTTTTAGCATCATCAGGGGAAAGATTATATTATTGTTATGCCTAAGACAAAAGGGTTTTAAAAAACAAGTTTAAATTACTTGAAATTATCTTCCTTGAAATATCATGCTAATTGCAATTTGTCAATTGTTTTCTTTACTGCTTTGGTGAACTATTTACTTTCCAAGAAATTTTCTTGAATACAAATATTACCTCGTGTCCAGAAAATAATGGCTAAAGACGGGTGATCCAAAATGGCCTCGGAAACTTTTAATTCTTTCTCTTCCTTGTTCTAATAATCACTTATTTGGTGATGCAAAAGATGGATGGATCACAACTCACAAGAATGCATTTCGCATGTACAGTCATTTGGAACAGGGTTCAACTCATCCTGCAAATCTCTGTTGAGCTACAATGGCCTCAAGTTTTCTTGGTTTTCTTGTTACATGATTAATCTCTTAAAAAGGTATCCAAGCTCTCGAGACAGCCCAGAAACTGGCACCTCTCTCTGCATCGGGTTTCTGTGGTGGTGCAGCAATTTACTCATTCAACCAAAATTATGCACTTACCAAATGAAATATCTATGCATCATGAATTACAGACTGAACCTTTTTGACAAAAAAAAAAAAAAAATTACAGACTGAACCTGGCTCAAAATCTTTATCTTAACATGAATGATATAAAATATGATCCCTACAAAGTACAAAACCACTATGCTTTCTGCTGCTGCTGCTGCCCAGAAATGCAGAACATAATAGATTACAAGGCTCTGGTTTGCTGATAAGCAAATAAACGCAGAGGAAGATTTCAAAATATACACCATAGGAGGGCTCCTCGTTGTTGCCAGGCGCCAGCTAAATTCTCCCTGAGTGAAGCAGAACACAGTTACTAGTGCAAGCCTTTCACGGTATCAGCGAGTACATCCTGCATTCTCAGCTAAATGATTTCAAACTGCTCCTTCCATCCTTGAGGCTCTACAGAGGACCCGAGCAGGAAAGAATAGAAACCGGTCAGGGTTAAAAAAACAAGGGAATAAACATATTAAAAGTTCCAAAGATATATCTTGATGGCGCACCAATCGCTTAAAAGATCTGTTTTGTGTAGCTTTCACTGCCTTCTCATAATCTGGTTTGGCACCATCCAAGGCCTGGGGCAGAACATATTCATGTTGTTACCACTTGGTTTACTTGTTCTTTTTCTAAGAATTTAAGAACTGAAACAGCAAAGTGCACAAAACAGAAAGTAGATTTAACAAACACCACATAAAAGAAGAACTAGAAATTATTTTACCTGTATTAGGGACTCTACCCGACGTCTCATCCGTGTATGCATGAAACCTTCTGAGCACTGCCAACAGAGAATTATTATGTAAAATTGAGTTCTCACAGTCAACAACTATAAAAATCAGTACACAGAAGTCAATCTATGAATCAAACCTACAGGAATTAATTGATGTTAAATACTGTATGAGTCAACTAAGAGCTCATCACTACCAAAGGACAAGCCACGTTGTCCAAAGGATATGAAAAAAGGTTCTCATTTGATGAAGCTTACACAATAAAATCATCAAAATTAGTTAAATGGCATCCAAATGGTTTTAGCTATAACTCTAATTCTTCCCCTGCTCCACAGAACAATGTGTCACCACCTCATCTAACCCCCACCCCTCTACCCACTCCACAAAGAGAAACAGTACACCGACGTTTCATGTTAAAAGAATTCATATTTTGACTGAGATAGCTAGATGCTTGATACTCTCCATCAATGCATTTAGTCCAGACGTTTCACATCTTCTTCATTCATTTGCAGCCATTTCTCAGGAGTTCAGACACAAAGTTAACACCTTGTTTTACATTAAAAAACTGAGTACAAATACTTGACACTGCAAAACAAACTCGCAAAATTTTGGCTAAAAAGAACAAAAAACAAAAAAGAAAAACAAAAAAAAAATACAATATAAAACACAAAAAAAAACAAAAAAAAAAAAAAATAGAATTCAAGTAAAAAAAACAAAAAATAAAACAAAAAAAAACAAAAAATAAAATAAAAACATAAAACCAAAACGTATAAAAAACAAAATAAAAAAAACAAAAAACGAAAAAAAAAAAAAAATAAGAAAACAAAAAAAACAACAAAAAAATACAAAGAAAAACAAACAAAACTGAAAAAACAAACTAAAGACCATCGGTACCAAAATCAAACAAAACAAACTCGCAAAATTTTGGCTAAACAAAAAGGAAAACTGACAACACGAAGTACAACTTCTGCGAATGAAAAGTTTTCGTCTTAGTCAAGTGCATTCAACCTCAGGCATGAAAATTCTAAGTTACATTCCCCATGTTCCCATCAGATCTTCACTTATTCAAATTGAGCAAAAATGTACATTGACAAGGGAAAGGGTTAAAAAAATGAGTTTGTAAACAATCAGGCATCAGATTATGTACTGAGAGTCTTACCTTAACATGATAACTCACATATGCATGAAATGTTGATAGACTCCAAACGGTTCTATCCAATTTTCTGCCTTCCACATGACGAGGGAAAATTACTGCAGTGAGTTAAAAGTCAAAGTGGTCAAGGAGAAAGTGGAAATTTTCTAATGGAGGAAGGGACTGATGTAAAATTCTGCTGCTACCAAAACTAACAAATCCAGCATTTGATGATAATGCTTCTGGAGGAGCTCCCTTCAGTTCGGGGGGAGGAGATGGAGACCACGAACAAGGAGGGGCATTGTTGAGACCAGCAGTACGCCTAGCATCTACAAATTCCTGAAATATGACAAAAAGAACGCTGAAAAAACTACCCCTGCACTGGAAAAAGAAAACCAAACAATGCAAACTAAAGCAAGTTCACACAAAGATGAAGACAGTGCAATAAATTAGCCAGTTCAAGATAGAAACCAATCGTAGTATGTTCTCTTAATGGCAATTAAATGAAGTGTTTCAACTCGATCCAACTCTATTAGTTTCAAAGCCCCTATTGATTGCATCATCTCTGAAACTCAAAGAGCAAAAACAGATCAGAAACCAAATTTTGTGACCTCACATCCATATATCCACAGTTAAAGTGAAACGGTATAGAACTCAGAACTGCAACTTAATTTCCCAGGTCCTTTTTCCTTTATCATAAACAACCAACACCAAAAAAAATGCCCAACAGACTTCTAGCATTTCTTGGCACCTTTTCAAGCATTTTTGCTTACAAAAATGGAAACCAACTAAATAAGTACTTAGAATCCAGTCAAAAGTGTAACATTACCTTTAGGAAAGAAGTTGCCAGAAGAATATCTATAGAATCTTTGAATCTCATAGGAAATACCACAGTGACCTTTTCCACCTGCAGACAAGTGTACTAAAACATTCAGAACCCTATATGCATACTTGACCCCAAAGAGTCACAGTGATTTTGAGAACTTGACTTATTACAAGTATTCCAAGCTAAGTGATGCAAGAAAAATGGTATTAGATCAGAAGGAAGAAACTCAATTGTATTTGAATATTAGAAAGGAAGATAAGAAGAATAATCAACTAAAATAACTTTAGTAATAAGGCGCCATATGTGATTCTTAACATTTTGATTTCATTCCATACTTTATTGAGATTATTTCTTCAATCAGTTCTCTTAAGAACCAAAGTACTTGCAAAAATCAGCAATTTCACAAGGTTTTGCTATCAGTTCAGCCTAAATGAATCAAAGTGTGATTTCTTCCCTCGTGCTCCAGTACACAAATTAGTATCCATAATTAGCTTAGGGGATGAAATGACTTGCAAATACCTGGAAAAGACCAAAGTATATGCACTTCTACAATCATGGATATGAAAACCATTCACAGAGAAGATGGAATGAGGGTTATTCAGTCACAAGCCAACCAATGTTTATATTAGATAAGCTCAGATTAAAATAGATTATCCAATCCAATAGAATTTTGCAAGAGAGTCAACAGAAGATGAACTCTATGACAGATTTACCTGAGGGATGAGAAAAAAGGATTCCATGGGCCGATGCACCAGAGCAACAACCTTGTCAATGTCAGAAGCAACTGTCCTAGAAGCAAGCTGTTTAAGAAATACTCTTAACGGGGCACCCAATACCACTTCCCTCACAGATGCAATCTTCGTCAAAACCCCATGTTTATGCTCTGTAATAGTTCCAGGAAACACTTCAGAGAAAGACCACAAGAAGTATTATATGGATGGATTCTTTACTGCAGGAACTTGAGAAGGAAACTGAGAGCAACAGCCTTGGAGGACAATTGAAGTGAAAACTGAGCTACTACAGTTGAAGCCACAAACACGCAAGCAAATGCAACTTGAGCTTATGGCAATTTATGTCCAATATCAGTAGCAAAGCATGTTTAGAGTTGTTTGTAGATGCTCAAAGAACTAATAAATCTAGATCATATAAAAAATGCTTAGAGAACTCTTAGAAACTCTAATACTGTAAAAATCATGCTCAGTTTGTACATATTTGACAATTCTAGGGAAGATAATTCAACAATGCATTATACATTAACTAATTCCAAGCCAAAAGGATGACGGACTCTCAAAGCTTTACGTCATTTCATTAACTACCCAGAGAGCACCTAATTCCATGACCACATATTGTACCTAAAAAAGATCTTTGACTCAAGGACAAAGGACAAAAGAATACATACATCCAAAAATAACAATTGGGCAGTAACATGGTACAAATAACATGAAAAGCCATTGTTTTTCAAAGACAAAAGCTAATAAAGCAAATAACCACAGATGAAGGCATCCGAGAAAAAATCCTATCTCTTTCAGCACAACCATGGCAAGATCATAATGACCTTAAAGAAAACGCGTTGAACCTTCATCTGGAGGAAGTTTTGACAAGTTCAATTTCAATGTGAGACTGAATCCATCTCTTGGAGGATCAAGAATTTGTGCAACCACTCCATATGCTGCTTTTATAGCTTCTATGGCACCTGGAGGTAGCCCACCAAAGGATACTGTTTCGGGAGGTGGTGGAGGTAAACTCACCGATAAAAAGAGAAGATTGGGATTTTTCATAGAGGCCTGAAAAATATTTTGGTCATCAAACATGTAAATTAATCATTCAGTAACACTTATTTGGGAGGAAGCATGTCAGCCGATCTGTATCTAATGGCTGCCCATTTACCAAGAACTTGACTAAGATGCCAATAATACCTGAACATGGTAACGGACATCATTGAATTCAATCCAATAGGAATCCAGCTCAACTCCTTTGTCAAGACTGCAATCAAGCAGGTATGTTTTGTCAATTTTCATCATAAGATTAAAAGATTGGTCATCTCCTTTTAATTAAATCCTCAAAGTATCATTGTCCGTAACAGGAAAGTTACAAATAGTTTATAACCAATCCATCAGTACATACAAAGAGATTAAATCATTATTCAAGTATTTGAAGAATCTTCCTTTAGTCCTTATATTAAGAAATGAAGCATTTGAATCTCTTTACATTTATCATCAGTCATCAGAGGCACCCAGAAGTTAGTTTTCTGGTAAATCATATTATGGTTTGGTTGCATGCATGTTCTATCAAAGCCAGATATGAAGAAAAAGAAAATACTGCATAAGAACAGATTGTGCTCTCCATGCCAAAGAAAGGATTACATTTTGGTGCATTTTCAAACCAAACGAGAACAACATCAGAGAGTAAAATGCTTTTGAAGGGTCAATGAGTTTCACAATCGCATAAATAATTTTGGCCACAGTTTCCAATACGAAATTATTATGACAATGCATAATTCAGAACATAGACGATATGATAATCAGTAGACATGTTGGTCTCAGAACAGCATTGACGTTTCATTGCCAGAGACAATATCTTGATTTAATCATCCATAGCATTTTGGTAACAACAAACAAATAAAAGGTTCAACAACCTAAATGAATTCCCAGTCTTTAAAAGCTTAACAGAGGCTGATTGTTTCCTTCCCAACAGAAGCAAAGAGAAGGGAATAGTTTGATTGTGGTATCAAATGCTTGCAGCTTCTCCAAAGGCATGAACTTCAACAAAGAGCAATCAACGTTCTTAAACAAAACATGTTACCAGCATCAGAGTCCCCATTTGGTAGCAAGTGCAGTTGGCCTTTTAATAATTTTTGTCATATCATTCACAAAATTCAGCTCATAAATTTGGAAATGACTAATATTTATACCACCCTTTTGATTCTTGAGTGTAATAGATCTTTTGGTTGGTAAGGAAAAGGAAAATGCCAATTAAAATATAGGCAATACCACTTGAAGAAAACTTGAAAAGTTCCAATCAGAACCTAAATATTCATAAAGCAATACCAAGTCTCATAACTTTAAATGTCTGCGACAGCAATATTTCAGCCACTATTTACCTAAAAGATAAACTTTATACCTATTCCCTTCATCCCATATCTAAGAAAAGCATAAACACGATAGTTTCCTGTGTAATGTCGATGAATTGAGGTTTTTCGACCCATTTCCAGGCGACATTTGCAAAACCCAAAAAAAAAAGAAGAAGAAGAGGAAGAATCACCTGAGTGTTAAGCATCACAGCAAAATGCCCACTTTTTCTTTTCGACCCATTTCCAGGCGACATTAGCAAAACCCAAAAAAAAAAAAAAAGAAGAAGAAGAATCACCTGAGTGTTAAGCATCACAGCAAAATGCCCACTTTTTCTGGTTTAAACAACCTCAAACTACCCAAGTTTGAAGCTTTACAATTTGTCCTAACCATGAAAGCCATACAAAATGGCTTGGAAAAACGTACTTCATTTCTTGTACGCTTTCCTTTACCAAAGCCACGAAAAAAAGACCAACAAAACGAAAAGAACAAAACTTTATCGCAGTCACATAAAATTGAACAGTTGAATTTAACAGATACCATTCAAAATTGCTAAATAGACAAGAAAACAAAGACCCCAGAAGGAAAATTTTGAAGGGAAGCACAATTGGGAAGAGAAAAATGAGAGAGCGTACTTTTCAAGGCGAGTAGTCAAGATCTGTAAGAGATACTTGGAAGGGGACTGCAAGAGTATCATGGGTGGTAGTCTTGCAGTATTTTCTTTTCTGTCACCTTCAAATGCTGTTATTCTTGTTCCGGGAAACTGATGATTGTCAAGATCGTGGGTCTTATCAGGCTAAAGGAAATTCTTCTGGGAAGGATCCAGCGCCGTGTGATCTAAGATGAAGTACTTAAAACGCCCAGATTCCAGAGCTACCGTTTTAGACTGTTTATCCTAACTTTACCGCTTACTGTCTTTAATCAAATTACACCGGGCTCCCTCAAGTTCATTTCAATTACTTTTTGAGCTTCTTGCCCTTTTATAAAAGTTTTTGTATGTTATTAGTAATTATTGTTTTGTTGCAGTAATTAGTTACTGGACTCAATTTATGGATTTTTTTTTTAAACGTCTCATTAAGGTTTAGCTACAACATTCTTTTTTCTTTGTTTGAGTCTATTTGACAAGTAATGTGACTAAATCTTGACCATAGCATAATAGATGATAGATAAGACATAGTAAAATAATTTATTAAAAATAAAATAATACATTATCATTAATTTACATCAACTTTTATCTCATTAATTTTGCTAACAATAATAGTAATTGAGACCTTATACATCGAGGGATAATATGCTAACAGTAATAAAAAAAAACTAAGGGATAGTAGTTAAAACAAAAAGATACATTGTCATTAATTTTCATAACTTTTATCTCATTACTAGAGCAGGCAAAAAAGCGCAAAATCCAACAATCTGCCCAACCCGTTCATTAATTTAAAATGATGGGGTTGGATCAATTGGGTTATGGATTTTGTTGGATTGTGTAAGAAAGATCCAACCTATTCATTGGATTGATTGGGTTTTTTATGTAGGCACCCAATGCCCAACTTATTTGAAAGTAAATACACATATGCCCAATCACTTGCATTTTGACATGTGTTAATAATTCATTGACCAATTTGCATTTAAAATTCTCATATATATGTTTTCAATCAGTTTTTTAAATTTTTACTTAAAAGAAAAAAAGAAACTTGAAATAAAACTCATAGTTATTTTACTTTTATAACAATAGTTAAACTTGCTCAACTTTTATAATAATTTATTATGCCTTTTAAGAGTATGTTGTTTTCCTCCCCTTTTTTTTGTGGTTGTTCTTAGGTTGCTACCTATTTCTGTTTGTTAATATTTCGTGTACATAGAATAGAGTTTTAAATTTGTTCTAACTACATTCTTTTACTTTTCTCTAACTTGTTTTATTTCATCGTTAATAATTCCTCATCAATGTTATAATACAACAAATTATATGTCTATTACTTACATTTTCAAGCATAATATAATCTAGCATTCAATAATTTAAATACATAGAATATTACAACTTACAATAAAACATATATGAATAGTAAAAGTGTTAATAAGTTATGACAAAAAATAAGTTTCAATCAATTACTAGTATTAAAAAGTATAAAGTAAAACAAAATTTTTTAGCTAATCTATTTAAATGTACAATTTATTATCTAAAATTCACAATACAAGCAATATAAAATATTATTATATTTATGATGTATTTCTAAGGAACTTAAGAAGTGAGTAGGTGTTTGTGCATGTGAAAGTGTGTTAGTGTGTAAAAATATGAGTGTATTTGGATAGTAAATTATTTGAGATAATTTTGTAAAAAAAAAATAATACTGTAGCACTTTTTTAATATGATGTATATGAGATAAAAAGGTGATTGGAAAATGTGTTAATGATGCAAGCAAGTTAGCGTGTGTAAATAAAGTGTAAATAAGGTGTTATAATTTACAATACATTTATGCGTGTGAAAAAAATCTTTTTATCTGTTAAAATGTATGCGAGAAAGTTTATATATCAAAATGTATTAATTAATATGTTAGGTCATATTTGGGTCATGAGTTTGAGATGACCCAATAGGATACAATCTAAAATTAACCCAATCTAAAATTGAACGGGTTGGGTATAACCCATTTAAATGAAAATCCAATATAAACAACCCAACCCGCTCAATTGTCAGGTATACTCATTAATTTTGCGAAAGTAGTCATTGATTAAATTTAAATTGAATAACCTTGATACTTTAGAGTGCAAAATATCTAAAATTGAAATTTAAGGTACAAAATAAAATAGTGATACAATTTCAACGATGCAAAGTGAAATTAGGCTAATAAAATTATTAGAGTAACTTGTTTAATATAGATCATTTTTTTGTACGGGTGTTGAGATACTTGGAATATGAATTTCTATGTTTAAAGTATCAACTATCATCACCTCACCTAACACCATTTTGTTTCTTATGCTATATAGCCTTTATTATTAATAAAACAAGCATTTTTTGCTTTTTCTTTTTTTTCCAAGAAACACTTCCTTTCTTTTAGAGATAATATCCTTTTATTGTAACAATAACTATAATTTTTTTTCGACAAAATAGCATCATTGTCTTGTGAAAAGTATTGGTATGTCTTACATTTTTAAAAATTTATTGCAATACACAATGAATATTTGTTATTTTTTTGACATATATTTGGTAGTTTTATTTTATAGTAGCAAATTAACTAAGATAAACATGATGTAGCAACATATACAATCTAATTGCTGCAAAATGTAATATAATTTACCCAAGATAGATTCCACTTCTTCCTCCCTAAGTAACATGACAAAGTTTAAGGATAAACACCAAATAAAAAAAGGGATAATTTCAGAAACCTCCCCTGAGGTTTCTGACACTTTCACTGACATCCCCTGAGGTTCTCAAAATTTCACTTACCTCCCTTGCTTTTGATTTTGTGGTAACAATCCAGTCCAAATCAGATTAAAATATTATTTTCATGTGTGAGAAGGTATTTTTATTCCATAGCTACCCTTTGCAGAAGTTGTATTAGTAGAAGATTCAAAGAAGAATAAATGATTTGGACTAATTAGTAAAGTTGAGGGGGGGTAAGTGCAATACAAAAATTTGCATGCACCAGATGTGCCATGCAACAGTTATTTGGCAGATTTTGCAACGGCTAGCTGCAAATTGCAACGGCCAGAAGGTTTGTTGTTTCAGTAGCAATAGCATATAAAGCAAAGCAACTTAACTACCTCTGAGGTTTCAAGCTATTAACATTCTTTGCTACTAATTTGGAGTGATAACAAGTGCATTTGCTGTGCTACAATTAGAGCTCTGAGTAAAAAGTTTTAGCTGCAACCATGGCCTCTTCAAGCCATAGGGGAGAATCATGGAATTCACCTACATCTTTCTCCATTAAAAACAGGTTTTGCCGCTGTAATCGCAAAGCAACCGTAATGATATCAGAGAGTGAAAGGAATCCAGACAAGTTGTATTTCTATTGAGAAATTTCCAACTTTGTGATGAATTTTAAAAAAATTCTACAAAAGGGGTGATTTTGGGTTTAATTTCCGTCAGGGGGGTCTTCGCATTTGTGAATTTCACAAATGCGAGCTTACAAGAGCTCGCATTCGTGGAATGCGAGCTCTGGTTATTGAGCTCGCATTCCACGAATGCGAGCTCTTCTCAATTTTTTTTTTCCTTTTTTAAGAGCTAGGGAATTATTTCTAGGAAGCAAATGCGAGCTCTTATCTTTTTTATTTTGGTATTTTTTGAGAGGTAGGGAATTATTTGCAGAAAGCTTCTAATTTTTGTTTTAAAAAATGTTGCAAATATTTAAAATTTTGCAAATAGCTCGCATTTGTTAAATTTGACCTGCAAAAATTGTATTTAACTTTTTTGTTAGATTTCGCATTTATAAGTATGACTTGTAGAAAATTAGATTCAAATTTAGATGTATTAGGGTTTTAAAAATATTATATAAGTGATAAAAATTTTATAAATTGTAAAAATAAAATCAAACTGCTTGGATAATTAAATGTTATATTTGCATAAGAAATAATACAATAATCATAATAATGATAATACAATAATATTGGTGTAATAAAACTGCCATTAATTTAAATATTTACTTATAATGCCCAAAGAGCCTAATTACCAATTTTTTCTTCTCGCGCTCAAATATAACATTAACCCGCATGCGAGCTAACCTTGAAATAGAAAAAACACAGAATCCCGCTTGCGGGTTTCAGGAGTATTCGGATATTCTCATATGCACCTATGCAAATCGAACCAACCGGATATCTTATCCGTATCCCATTTTTTTAAATAAAAATCTTATAAATTTGAAAAATAAAATCAAATTTAGATGTATTAGGGTTTTAAAAATATTATATAAATCAAGTTTCTATTATTGTTGTTAAGCTTAATTAATCATATCAGATGCCATTATGTAACTAAACGGTAGTAATTAACCCCAACTACTTGGGATATATCTGTAATTTTGGCCCTGATGACGTCAGAAAAGGGGCCCAATTTTTTATCAAGGGAGGTAAGTGAAATTTTGAGAACCTCAGGGGATGTCAGTGAAAGTGTCAGAAACCTCAGGGGAGGTTTCTGAAATTATCCCATAAAAAAAAAAACAACAGAGAAGTAATAAATAATTAATAAACCAATTTTTCAAAAAAAAAATTACTAAAAAAAATGAAAAAGCTCAAAGACTGATAAAACTGGTAAACCCAAAACCCTCTTGTTGTTTGCAGCCAAGTCCACGATGACTAAATTGAGATATTGGTCTTTGTAGGGGGCTCAATTGACAAAATGGTTTATGCTGCCTTTCCTTCTTACTCCTGTGAAATTCTACAAAAATCTTGGAGCCTATGGACTCCCTAAATCCATTTTTCTACCCTCCTGAATCATTTCTTGAAGATTTGGAATCACAGAGTCGAGCAAGTGATTTGTTAGGTTTGATGGAAGGCAGACGCATAAGAAGATTTGGGAGAGGCAGCCAAAGCAGTCGGACCCTTCTGCCACTTCGACTCACTCGCCTTACAAACGCTGTTTCTTGTTGGTATGCTCATCTCTCTCATATTAAAATCGATCAAAACCTTTCCTTGAATTTAAAAGAATTCTGGGTTGTGCTTGAATTCAATGGAATACAGGTACAGATGACAAATACTTGACAACTATGTGTAATACAGGTACTGCGACTTCAAAACATCTGTCTTGAATGAACCTCTATATCGATATGGTCGTCGTCATTCCAGGTTTGCCTTTTTATCACACACACACACAAAGAAGGAATTTGTCCAAGCTTTTTTTGTAAGGGAATCGTGAAAGACTAAACGTACATTGTTGAAAGATATGCTGCAGAACTGCTTGAGAG